CCCCCCCCCGACTCCCTCCTCTGGCACAGGTGGGACCTGCCGTCAGAACAAGTCACGCACAGCCACGAACGAAGAGGCTAAGTCACCTGCAATCCCTTCTGCCCAGCATCCCTCTGTTAGGCACCTGGGCAGACACCGCAAGTTAATAATGACCTGCGTTCTGGTTGCAAATCTGCAGCATCAGTCGCCGCACTGCTGTGTGCTTTCCGAGCTGCTGCAGCTCCAGCACCCGCCCAAGGGCACGTCGCCGTATGGCCATGACCCGGGCTTCTCCTGAGAAGTGCTCCTCATTACCGACTCTGCCTCCCTGGGGGGGATCAGGAGCAAGCCACGTACTGAAGTTTTTGACCTAGGCCCCGGAAGCCCCCCTCTCCTACCAGCCCTGAGCAGCGGTAGCAGAGCGGCCCAGGGAGATCCCATTAAGACAGGTTGCATTGCTTTCCCAGTTCCAGCAACTTGCGGCGGCTGTAAAAACTCGCACCTGAACTTTGCAGGCGATGCTCATTTAATTGCTCCTGCTGTCAGCGTTGCTCTCTCATTTAGCAGCCAGCAAGTCTAAGCGCTTGACACACCCCAGTATCCTCGGCTCTGGCGAGGGCACTGGGCTATCTACGGCCTCGTGGCGCCTTCACCTTCTTAACGTCTAATATTGTCTCTAAATCAAACCTGCGGCTGCTGAACTGGCCAGTGGGTTTCCTACTGAAAAAATGAACGGCTTTGAATTGCTGAAGAAATGCTTTGCAGCTTCAGCATTTTAATTGCGCTCCCTTTCCCGGCAAAGCCCTGGGTGGTCAGATTGTTATGACTTGGCTTTTGCATTCTGGGCAGGGCATTTGTTAATTATTAGCATTAATCATTTGCATTGCACTGGTAGCTAGAGATCCCGGTTAGGAGTCAGAGCCCCACTGAGCCGGGGGCTTTGCACGCACATAACAAAGGTCGGAGCCTCTCTCCAAAGTCTCAGGCTGGGGAGAGGATGTCTAGCTGCCCGGCAGCCCCCTCCGTGCTATTCAGGCCCGGTGCAGAGTTCGCTGCATTGATGCATTTCCCCTCCCACTCACATCATTATGGTTTAATTCTCCTTTCACGCTGTGCATGCGAGTCACGGTGCAGACCTGCCCCTCCTCACCGAGCGGGCGCCCACCTCCGATGAGCCGGTCCTAAAAGCAGAGGCCATTCCCCCTCTTGCAGAAGGAGAAGCCCAGCAAGCTGTAGCACCAGCAGCACGACTGGGCCAGGTGAGACGTTCACCCAGCCGAAGGCAGCGCTGAGACACCTCCTGACTCCAGCATCCCAATACCTCAACAGCTTTAGGCATATTTTGCAAAAATAAAGCATAAGGAGACTTAGGGCCAGGTCCACAGATCATCTTACAGGACTCTCAGAGTGGACCCCACAGCCCCCAGGCCAATGCCCAGGCTCCCCATACAATGCATGCGGGCACATGCAATGAAGCAGCATGGCTTTCTCTTCTCCTGAGGGTAACGTGCTCTGAACTTACCTCAGATCCGAGCTGCTGCCCAGTTTCAGTCCAATATCAGGGCCGTTTGTTGGACCGGAGTGGTCCTCTGGAGTCTATCATGGTTGCAAGACCTACAGGGAGAAACAGGACAGGAGTCAGTGCAGCTTTAGACGATTACATTAAATAACAATGAGTATTTCCTTGTACCTCAGAAGCCATCTCTCGCAGAAGGCTGGCATCGATGAAGAAATCCAGCATCACCCTAACTGTGCAAGAGCCACCTGAAGAAATGGGTGTTGGAAGATCATGACATACGATTTGAAACCAAGCTCATGGTTTACCAAGCAGTCGTGATCCCTGCCTCACTGTACGGAGTCGAGGTGAGGACAACGTATGGGAGACATCTCAAGCTGCTGGAGAAGTATCATCACTGCTGCCTGCAGAAGATCCTTTGAATCCAGTGTGAAGACAGAAGCAACATCAGTGTCTTCCCGCAAGCAAACACCACAAGCATCGAGCTGACGATCATTCGACATCGACTTTGCCAGTCCGGCCATCTCATCCAGACGTGCGACTCCAGACTCCCGAAGCAAGTAATATTCATTAGCTATCTGCAGACCCACAGATAAGACGATCATGGAAGACCATTGGCAATCCCTCGCAGGCGAGGATGATTATGAGATGATGACATTCAATGTGTCAAAGAGTTGCTGAGCAAAAGGGGCCTCACTGTTCGTTAACCCCTAGTCTCATAGCTGTTTAGAGACCCAAGCATCTTATTTTACCTGCATTTAGCTCAGGGGAGGCCACCCTGGCATGGACAGCCTCTCTCAACAGGCTACCATTGATGAAGAAGTCCAGCACCGGGTCAACTGCGCCAGTGCTGCCTTCTTCAAGCTGTGGCAATGTTCGAAAATAGAGACCTTCAGAGTCAAGAAATGTGCTGGTGTACAAGGCTGTCGTGCTGACCACCCTCCTCTACTGCAGTGAAACCTGGACCATCTACCAACTGCTCATTAAGACCCTTGAGAGCTTTCACCAGCGGTGCTTGTGTTGAATCCAGGGGATCAAATGGGAGGACCGCCGGACCAGCGCGAGCGTCCTCCATGAAGCTGCGTCCATCAGCATCGAAGCCTTGCTCTTGAGAAGGGACGATAGACGGGCCACTGTGTCCGGATGTCCGAGAACCGCCTCCCTCGCCAGATCCTCTTCTCCCAGCTCTCTGTTGGCCAACGCTCAAAGGGCGGCCAAAGGAAATGGTACAAAGAAGGTCACCCTCAAGCACAGAGGCATTGGCACCAATGGCTCAGAGGAGCAAGCTGCTGACTGTTTGGCATGGTGCCATCTGGTCCGCCAAGGTGCACGCCACTTCGAGGCCCAACGATTTAATATGGAGGTGGCAGAGGAAGAAGGAGACCAACCCAGGGCTGCGAATCCCACTCCCCAACTCAACAACATGCCCCCATTGCGGAAGAATGTGTGCCTCCAGAATCAGGCTCCTCGGTCACCTGAGGACCCATCAACCCTGACGGACATCATCCTCGACTTCGAGGGACCACCGCCGACGGACAGGCTCTGCTTGGGGCACATGGGAGATTCGGGAGAGGAGCAGGCAGCACAGTGGCCAAGGGACTGGGTGCAGAAACCAGAGCAGCAGATCAGGCAGGGGAGGGGGGTCAGAGTGACACTCAGGGAGGGTGTAGGGCTAAGTCGTGGTACAGCTACCAAAAAGTTTGCCCCCATTGATTTAAGTCATCGTCGGATGCTTTTTGCAGTAACACCCTTGGCACTGACCTGTTTCCCTTCCCAATAGGTTTGCCTGCTGCGTGGGTGTCTTGCTTGGTTCTTGTCGGGTTGCTCACAATAATAAATGAAAGCACAATAGCAACCCTTCCGATTTCTTATTGAGGCCTTGCTCGTGAGCGATAAGGCTGCAGAAGTCCCTGCTTTTGGGTAACCTTACCATTACTGAAAGTCACGGCAGCATCATCGCCATCACTATGCCTATCATTATTATCATTATCGTCATCTGCCCTGCAATCCCATTCCCGAGGTGATGTCTGCACCCCTTCGCCACAAGAGCCTGATTTATGGGAGCTGTGGCAATCCTAATTCAGCGCTGAGGCATCCAAGTCACAGCCTTAGAACAATCCTGGCATAATTGTGTGCGTTAGGAAATGATGCAGTTCCTACCCTTCACTCTCTATTTGTATTTTCTGTCCGGCGCGATATATATCAGCCAGCTCCAGTGCTCGAGTGCCGCTCTACAGTCTATTATAAAATGGCTTGGTGCAAAAGATGCATATAAATAAGAAAATCCATGAAGTGCTCCCCAACCTTTGCTGCGGCAAGTCTTCTCCTGCGGTGATTTATGGCATCTGCTCCACGTTTCTTTCTGACATAAATCTCACACTTCATTCATATGTAAAGAAATATGGAAAGCGGGAGGCAGGCGCCTCCAGACCTGGGGGCCGTGAGCAGGGGCGCTCTGCCTCTGGGCTTCAACGGCTTGCGCTGGTACCACGCTCGCTGTTTGCTGAGAGTGACTGGGTGTCGTCCGGCAAAAATATTGAGGAAACCAAAGAGAGCTTGAGATACCAAACGCTGATAAATATGGGGTTCATCCGGGTAGGCAGGCCTAAATCCACTGCTGCATGGAGGTCCTAACCTGCCATGCTTAGCTCTGCTATGGTCCAGGTCTTCTATGCATTGCAAAAGAAGGTGCTTCATTATACCATTCCCCACTACCGAGGACTCCTGGCCCTGTCTGGCATGCCAAAGCAGCCAGGATGTTTAAAAATAAAAAGCCCAAGTTCATCTATTGGCCTCCGTGATCCATGCCCCCCGGTGCTGTCAGCCGCACAGGCTCTCCACTGCAACAGAGAAAGTCTCTGCTCCAAGACTGGCTCTCAGGGGCGGAGGGTGGCGTCCCTCTGTGACCCTGGTGTCACGACGGCCGAGCCCCGCCGATTCTGTGAGACTGCCCAAGGAGGGGCACGAGGATCCAGTGGTCCTTTGGCTGCCACCGGACCTCAACTTTGGAGGGATCTAGGCAACGAGGCCCGTGGAGCTCCCCACACTGTAACCCTGGAGCAAAGCTAGCTTCTGGATTTAGCTCGGAGGCACAGCATAGCGCCCCGTCTCGCGGTGTCCCTCTCTCCCACGCACTTCCAAAATAAGCACATTGCTCCTACGGGACGGAGAGGGACAGAGGCGACCGTGACTTTTTTATAGAGTTGAATCCTTGGGAAGGACCCAGAGCCTGTAATGATGGGGCCCGGGAAGCATGGACAGGCAGACCAGGTTCTTCGGGTAAATGTGGTTTCTTTTATTAGACCAGCTAAATTGTTGGAAAAATTGTTCTTTGCAAGTTGGTCTAATAGAAGAAATCACATTTAGCCAAAGGACCTTGTCTGCCCGTGTCCTTAGCTCAACACGGCTACAACCTACGCCCACGACACACGGCCAGTCGGATGCACGCCAGCCGACCGCTCCTACCCGAGTGAAAGCCAGGCGTTCCCTCGGCGTATTTATTCTCCGTCTCAGCTCTCCAGTAAGGAGCTGCAGCTGGCTCCCAAAATTTGGGCAGCATCGTTACCTGCAGCCAGGTGTCCGGACAGAAGATCTCTGCCGACTCATTGCACTAAAGACTTCCTGGCTTTCATCTTTCCTTTGACTCTGTACAGCCCCTGGCGCAGACCAACTCGCAGCCGAGCCCTCGAGCTGCCCCTCTAGGGCAAAGAGGCACAGCACAAAATCGGATCCTGCCTCGTAAACAGTGTGACACGTTGCCAGCTGCATCCTTCAAGCAGGATGTTTTCTGGGACTGTCTCACTTATCCTGTGGTTTATCTTAGACTAATTGTTGCAATCAGATTTTTATAGTACTTATATTGTATTATAAATGTCAATAAAAAATTAATTTCCCATTTCCCTCAGGTTTATTGCTGCGTGGGCCATCTCTGGGGATGTTAAATTCTCTTTCTCTCTCTTTTTTTTTTTTGGCTCAGGCCAGGCGCTGTGATTGTGCTAAGCTCATCACAAATAGGGCGGTACGGGGAGAGCTCTCAGAGTACAGACTCGACAAACAAAAGGCCTCTGGATTCCCTTTTCCATCCCCTGAGCCTCGGGGCGAGGAGCAGGGGTCTGAAACAAAGCCCCGATCCTGCCGAGACTTACACTCACTTCTTTTTATAAACATGGATAGCCCCAGGAGCTAAAGGGGCTTGTCAGCCTTTGCAGGATATAAGCAGATCTACCGGCTTCATTCACTTCTAACATGGACAAATCATGGAGTTTGCAAAGAGGTAGTTTTTCCTGCTTTCCATCTATCCATTACCCCCAAATCTACATCAGAGGTTTGACATTTCTTAGACATTTCTGTTTCATTTGTGACATCTAATGCAAGCGGTCACTCAGGTCCCGTTTTACCCTGTGCGCTTGGAAATCACAGAGGCACGTGAAATGCTGAGCCGTGACCACCCATTGAGGTGGCATGATGATCATTAAATGCAAGGCTTTTAGATGTCGATAGTTACTTAAATACAGGTGTGCAAATGTCTAACTGGAGCTGGACCGCTCCCAGCGGGGGCAGGCGACAGAGCAAGGAGCAATGGGCTCAAGCTGCAGCAAGGGAGGTTGAGGTTGGATATTAGGAAAAACTCTCTCACCAGGAGGGTAGTAAAGCACAGGGACACGTCACCCAGAGAGGTGGGGGGCTCTCCCTCCTTGGAGGTTTTTAAGACCCGGGTGGACAAAGCCCTAGCTGGGATGATGTAGTTGGGGCTGGTCCTGCTTGGAGCAGGGGGTTGGACTAGATGGGACCTCCTGAGCTCCCTTCAATCCTCATTGTCTACGATCCTATGAACTAAGTATTTGAGAAGGAATGAGCGTTTATATAAAAAAGAGCAACACAAAAAGTTAGGCCCATATCTTCAGCCTGTGTAAATCAGCAGAGCTCTGCTGAAGCTAGATGAGACGCTACAGTTCACACTGGCAAAGGAGCTGGGGGCACAATGTGCAAAACCTAAAGAGCCACAGCCCTGGTAGAGCGGCTGGGAAGGACATTTTGGCCTCGTGGAAAACTGATGATTAAAAAGAAACCTACTTTATTCTGACCAAGTCTCTAAATCAGCTTTCATACTTGCATTGCAAGACTGCAAACTCCAACTCCTCCGTTACCGGCAAGCAGAACGTGTCGAGAGAAAGCAGAAGATGGTTGAACTTTGACTCCCCAAATCGGGGTTCTGGCTGCTAAAACCTGAATTTGAAGGGGGAAGGTTTTCAGCAGAAAATGTGGCGTTTTGGTTGGGAGAAACACTTTTAAAAATGGATTTGCAGTTTTAACTTGCTGACGAAAACCTGGAAACTTCGGGAGGAAACGGGAATTTTCAACTGAAACCAGAGAGAGGCCCTTTTTTGGTCGATTTGTTTGGTTTTCAAACAGTTCCGAAAAATATTATCAAGGTGAGGAAGAACGCTTTGCTCCCGCACGCAGCTCTGAGCACACGGCACGCGTTATTGTGGGGTGACGATGGTGCTGGGATAAAGCTGGGGACTGGACACTGGGTAGGACCTGCACAGGTCTGGTCCACCAGGGAATATGGATGGGATTTTTGAATCATCCCAGCTGTTGTGCGATGCCCAGCGAAGCTAGAAAGGTTCGTTCTGGCTCAGGGCAGATCTTGCTGCAAACTAAGCTAAGAGTACGTGGGTGTTTAATTGACCGATAATAGAAATCCTTGGCTCGGGGCGGTGGGGTGGGGGTCTCTCGTCCCAAACCAGCTCCCTGGCAATGCTGGCTAAGTGCAGAGGCAGCGTCTCCCTGGGAAGGGCTTCTGCACTGGATCAAATGAACCAGATGAACTTGCCCTCAATTGTGTGCAGCAGCTGAGGATTGCTTCAGGCAAGGCCCTAGTGGGAGAGGTGCAAGAGGCTTCACAATGAAATGTCAAAAGACACAAAACGCCACTTCCAGTTTAGCTCCTGGTGCCGCCTAAACGATCGGGATTTGCACACTGAAGCACAAACCGGATCACTGAATTTAAGGGGACATTTCACTCCTCTGGTTCCTCCTGCCAGGAGTTTTAGGCTAACAATGTGACTTCTCCGTGAAAAAGAAGATTTGGGGAAATGCTGAATACGAATCAACTCTCCCTGGTCTACGGGGCAGCATTCAGACCTCAGGCCAGGGCTTGAAAAGGATTGAAGCTGTCTTGTCTCCTTAATCCGATGCATTGTCTACAAGACAGCAATTACATTTCCATGAGCACCAGCACAGAGGAAACAAGCAGCCGATACCACTTCTGTTCTCTTATCTGCAGTCTGCAAGTGCACCTTCTGCTTTCCATGCAAGTGTTTCTCAAAGAGACCGGGCAGCTCTCTGCTGCACACGACTCAAGGCCTTGCCCCTTCCTTACCCGTAGAGCCCTACCATCATACCCGATCCCGGTGGGAACCAAGCAATAGCACACCCCGGCCTCACCTTGGGCTCTTGAGGGTGCATCTCTGCTGAAAAAAGCACATCCTCGGTAAGGAGCAATGCTGTGCCACGGTTAGGGGAGAACAGGGATTGGCGTTCTTGGTACAGAAGAGAGAGCTGCAGGGCATTGGCAGATCTGGGCGAATACCTACAGACCGGCATGGCACGGGCCCTGTATTTTTTGTCTGTATTAGCCCTGATGGCTTTGCACTGCCATGTAGGATCATACAAAGCCCCTCTTGTCTGGGGACTTGGAACCAGCACTCTGCTTTCCTCCATATGAGAAACATCGCCCTTTGGTGAGGGGCGCTTGTACACAACATGTATCGACTAACCGCCTTCAGGCCCCCTGCCCCGGCTGCAGCCACGACCCGTGCAACTGGAAGCTGCCTTAAGGAAAAGGATGGAGATAGTAAGAGCAAGACTGTCAAAGAGGGGGCGGGGGTGGCAGGTGGGGGCAGGAGTCAGAAACAACCCCCCAATCACAGATGACGTCGGTAATGATTTGGGCTGGCAAGGCCTGCCCGCTGTAGGCACTGTGGGATGATGCAGCTCTGCCGCTCTCAATTACCCAGCGCAGTGGCATTTAGCAAGCATCAGAGGACGTCCTGGCCTATGACCCTGCCCCAGCATCTCTTCTTCCACAAACTGCTTTTCCAAGACAAATGACAGGTTCTGGGGCTGCCTGCATCGCCCACTTGACATCTAAAACATCCCACTCCCCCCAGCCCCCCTTTGCTATTCAAGCAGACTTTTAAAAATGCCACAAATATGTAGGTAATGCTAGATAAAGAACTGCATGTATTTACATACTTTTTTTTTTTTTTTTTGTTGCAAATACTTAGTATGTCACCGGAGCCAGAGCTCAGAGAATGTCAAACATTTTGCTATTTATAGCTTTTCTTTTTCAGCATCGTTCTTGGCAGTTTGCAAGGCATCACGTCTGCCAGGCAGCCAAAAATGGGATACTCCACATGAAGTTTAAGATGTTACTTAAAGGCCCCAAAGTCTCCAATCTGCCCCCTGGCTTTGGTGGGAATAGGACGAGGCCGTGAAGGGAGGCGGTTACAGACACCCGAGTGCTGCTGGCTTTAAAACACATTTCCTCCATTTCTGAACACCTCCTTCCATAGGGTCCAAGAGCTGGAGGCCATAAGGGACCATCAGGTCATCTACCCTGGCCTCCCACATGGGACAGGCCCCTGGGCTCTGCCCTGTACTAGGCCAATAACTGGGGTTGGACCAACACAGGTAAGTCCTAAAAAGAGACTAAACCGCTGCAGGCAGAGAACAGGGAGGTCCCACGTGCCACTGAGACCTGAAGCCCCTGCAATGGCAAGGAGTTGCTTAGCCTCCCAGTAGGTGAGCTATCCCCCATCGTGCAGAATAAGACTCCCCCCAGGCCAAATTTGCAGGAGCCGGGGC